ATCACAGCCCTTTCTGGCATATCAGACCCTTTGCTGAAGTGACGTGAGCAAACGGCCTGAGTGGGCAATGAAAGCAGACCAGGTGAGAGGCCCAGTGTAACGGCTGGGCTGGGCTTCAGGGAGTCTTGGCCTGTTCTGCAGCAGTGTCTGGACTTCACGGGTAATTTTAGGTAACAGGATACTTCTTTCATTTAACCCATGGGTGTGGATTCGGTTCCAAATCAACGTGGAGGTCCAATGTGTGTCAGAGTAGAACTGTGCTCCAGAGGAGGGTTGCATGGCTTTGATTTTTCAGTCATTTGCCTTTCTTGCAAGGTGTGTAAGGGAGGATTCGAGCCAATCTTTTGGTTAGTGGCCGAGTGCCTTCACCAATGGCACCCCCCAGGGACTTCTGTTTCTGTCGTTAGAAGGCCTTGCCTCAGCAATGCCTGAAAAAGTAGTGAAACAGGAAAAATATATGTCCTGCCATTTTGCAAATTTTCACACATTTCTTGTCTACTTCTCAAGTATTTTCTTTGAAGATTCATACTGAGTCGCCCCCCCCACCCCCGCCTTATTTTGCATTGATGAGCTTGTTGGTTTGTAATATTGATAGCAATTCTAAATTCTCCGTCTTGGGGGATATATTTAGCTAAAATCAAGTCTTTTTTTTTTTCTTTTTAAGCTGTGAAAAGTTGTAACTTATTAGTCACATGGATTACAATACAATCCATACCCTTTCCTTCAGGATCCCTTTAGTAACTTAGACCTATTTTTCTTCTTCTGATTTACGCACTCATAACCACCATTATAATAAAGCACCAAGCCAGTTATCATTGAGTAGACTCTAACTTATACAGCGTCTGAGACAAGGGCCAAGTACATAGTGATGTGTTCGTCTCAGGAAGCAACTGACTGCTCTGGTCAGATACGTATTAACTAGAAGTCATGCTATCTCACAGTTTTAGATTTCTGTGTAGTACTGGCTATGTATTAAAAACTCTACTATTGTTTATATTGATCTTTATACTTAGGAAAAGCTGCATGTTATGCTTTCTGGTGTAATTGAAAAGCTCTCAAAGGTTTTCGTACCCATGGTTTGTCCCCACATGCTAAGCGAAAGCATTCAACTCACTAGTAATATGAGCTATGAGAAGGCACTGTCGTGGTAAATGAAGGACATCACTATGACTTGTAATATGGAAGCATGTTTGTGCAGCTTTGGAATCTCTTAATGCCCAAGAACAAGCTGAAGGCTAGAATCTCCAAGCAATGGGGCGACATTGGTTTCCAGGGTGATGATCCCAAGACAGACTTCAGAGGCATGGGCATACTTGGATTAATCAATCTTGTGTAAGTGAAAATAAACTTCCTTTCTTCTCTACGTGAAATTATATGCACTCCTTGACTTAAGTAAATTGTGTTAGTAATTAACGTAGTTTTCCACACTGAAATTTGCATAGCTGCCACACACACACACACACACACACGCACTACTCAGAGGACACTAGAAGCAGTCTTCATGTGTGTTGTGATTCCTTTGCTTGCCAGTGCTTTTCCTTTTTCTTTTCTGTCCCTGACCTCCCTTCTGGTGACTCCCAAAGAAGTATCTGTCTTTACGTACTTACACTTATATACTTCTTCTGAACTGCTTTTTACCCTCTTTCCTCTCTTGCTTCTCTGATTTCATTTTGAGGGACAGAACCAGATAAGATGGCAGTCTAATCTCTCTGCACTCTGCCACCTATGACAACTGACCTACGTCCCTGACTGTTCAGAGTGAACTTTCCTTTCTCTGACCCCTCCCTGTATGTATGATGATCCAGCCAAAATCCAAAACTCTGTGGCTCAATCGGAATTGACAACCCAAACTAGCCAGACATAAATTGGAAAATTAATTTTCCCCCATAAAGCAAATGAATAGGGTTTAGTGTTTGGGTCCATTTGATTGTACTCTGCGGGCCTGTAGGTTAAATAGAATGGAGCGTCTGACCATTAGAGAGTTTGGATACTTCTTACTGTGGAAAACCTAGTCTTCAGATGGAGCCAAATTAAATGAATATTTAGAGAAAGTATGTAGTTTCAAATGGATCGTTATTCTGGGGTAGGAAAAAATAGGATGGGGTGTCAATAATAAATGTTTCCAATTTTTAAAGTATTGCATTTTCTCTAATACCTACATTTTATGAACATGAATATTCTCCATAATTCCACCTCCCAGAGATAAAGCACAGAAACCTTTAAAAGAAATAGTAACAATTAACAAAGCCAGATTGCCAATTTTTGACTTTGTAAAGCAGAAACCTGCAATTTAAGTAGTATTAATGCAGTTTGTTTTCTGTTTGGACAATCATAAAATATTTGAATTTTTTTTTATCATTTAAGTCACTTCAACCTGATTTCTTTTTATCTTAGCCTTCATAGGTTATATTTCTTGTCATTTTTAAACTACTAGAACAAAATATTGATGTTTGACTCTTGACTGTTCATTCTGCTGTTTACTTTCTTAACTTTTGCTGAGTAAGCTTGTTTTGGGCTCTTTGTATCAGAAATCACGATTTCTCAGCATTTGCCAGAAGAGAATTCAATTTAGTTTACAGTTTAAATAACTTAATGGAATCTGACTCTAGACTATAGAAAGAGATTCTGCTAGCCCTTTAGATTACTTTGATATATTTTCACCTTCTTAATAGTGCATATTAAAGAGCCCTGGAGGCATAGTGGTTATGCATTTGGCTGCTAACTGCAAGGCTAGCAGTTCTAAACCACAAGCCACTCCTCAGGAGAAAGACTGGGCTTTCTACTCCCACAAAAGAGTTACGTAGTCTTGGACACTCAGAGGGCGGTTCTACCCTGTCCTACAGGGTCGCTGTGAGTCGGCAGCGCCTCGATTGCAGTGAGTTTGGTCTTGTAAAACTTGCATCGAAGAATGACCAAGACTCAGATGCATTTGTAATTCTTTGTCAGTGATACACAGATCAGCCCCACCTTAGGACAGGGTTCTGTTCTGACAGACCCTGTAGGTTGGTTCTCACGTAAGTTGAGTGAGTCCCTGTCTTTGTTTTCGTTTTCGTCATTCCTGCCATTTATTATCAATATATATTTCTAAATGTGAATTTCACTTGTCTTTGGGATTTGGAAACTTTACTTGTGCACTTACAGATAGGCTGACATCCAGATAGGAGGGCATTTCAACAACTTCACAGAAAAGTTCCATTGACTGTTCATTCCATGTGTCCCTGTATGTCCTTCAGTCCCCTTGCTGTACTCATTATAAAATGTACCGGGAAACCCAAACAAAGCCCTGCCGGTAGCTAGTGCAGGTCATTGTAACGCGAGTGTGCCCTGAGCCTGAGACAGCTTGGCCTCGAGTGGTGGTAAGCACAGGGTTAGCTCTCGCTCCTCGGTGAAGATTCCTGCTCTCCTTGACTGGACCTTGACTCCTTAGGAGCAAAAGAAGGGAAAGCGAAACCATGGGGCGAGCTGTTGAGAATGAAGATACGTAGTATAAATCATGTATATTAAACTAAGCGGGGAGAATTTAATGGTGAATCGCTACTCCCCGTGGAAATTTTAGTCATTATGCCCTCTAAAATTTAAGTAATGGAGTTTATTTGTCTACTTAGCCTTACAAAAAACGCCCTAGCCGTCCAGGATGTTGCTCCTATCTTGAAAAGCGCCAGGGGGTTGCTGAAGTATATGCCGGAAGGCTTATGGACCTTCACGTGTGGTTTGTAGCTTGTTCTCCCATCTTGTACCTCTGTTCGAGTTATTGTTTTAGTTGGATCACTTATTAAGAAGGTAGTTTGGGTTTTTTTCTTTTAGTTGAAACAAGAAGTTGTTGACTTGCTTCTCATTGCTCCGAAAATGGCATTTAAACAGTAGACACTTAAGTTTCCATAGGTGGAAAAGCCTAAGTGAAAAGGGAGAATGTCCAGCGGGTGTGTATGGGCTGTTTTACAGAACATTGAAAATAAGATAACAACAACAACAAAAACTTTAGTTTTACTTGTTTTAAGTGCAGCACTGTTGTTAATAGCCGTAAAGGTAGAAACAAGCCATGTATATGCCCACCAACAGAGCAATGGGTCAAGTACGGTGCATGTTCATACCCACATACTCTGCCGTAGGGGTAATGGGGTCCTGGTTCGTGCCACACGATGGTCGAGCCATAAAAACATTTGATAAGGAATGGGTATTGTTCAAACAAGATGATTAATTGATCTCAACATGAAAAATGTTGAGTTGGTAAATACCTGTAGTTTTTAACAACGTAACAGAAAAGGTAGGTAGAAAGTCTCTTTATAGGTAATTGGTTAAAATAGTTTGTAGTTCTACCAAGAAACTGGGTTGTATCCTAGATGGGCCTGATCAGAATTAAATTGGATTCTGAAACATATACGGCATTGAAGTGATTTAAATAAAATCAAGGTCATTGTGGTAGTAAGCTAAGACTCATTTTGACTGTAACTTTAAGAACTGGCATGAATGTTTTTAATGAATGTTGAAGGACGCATGTGCATTTTATTGTTTTTCTTAAATTTTTTAGGTATTTCAGTGAAAATTATACCACTGCAGCACATCAGATTCTTTCCCGCTCAAATCACCCAAAATTAGGGTAAGACGGGGTATCTCAGAGAAACTGTGATCCCTTGAATTTGAGAGTATTGGATAATTTTCATTTTAATACTGTCCTCAATATTTTAAGATATTATTTAATAATAAGGTTAGAATATACTTTTAACACTAAAGGTGATCATGAACCAGTTTTCTATGTATTCCAGTATATTTTTACCGTAAGATAGGGTTTATCTTCGAAATAGAGATAAGAGCTTTTATAAAGTTTTTGTGAGAAGTAGATTTGAAAAAGGAGATAGGAAGAGCTTTGTAATAAGAAAAGAAAAGTGGGATACCATTTTTAAAATATTAAAGCAACATGAAAATTGAAATCATATGGTAAGCTTTCTCATTACTGTTTTATTTTTATGTTCTGATGTCAGATCATAAAAATAAATTAACTCAAGAAGATAGCTGATTAGTCAATGTATCTTAGTGTTTTTTTTTAAGATTTAGTTTCAGACACTTGCAAGAACAGAGCTTTGCTTCTTAGATTATACCCCCCAAAATCAATAGCCCATAAAGAACACTTTTGGATCCATTCTGATGTTTGTTTTAATATGTAGGAAATATTAAAACTCAGTACTCTGTTAGAAGTGGAGCAAACGATTTCACTAATTTTGTACATAACTTAGCATTTCTCTTAGGAGCCATTTGGCTAGCTGGTATAACTGGTGATGTTTCTGACATAGGTATTCTTATGCAATAGTTGGAATCAATCTTACAGAGATGGCTTACAGCTTACTGAAGAGTGAAGCTTTGAAGTTTTATCTCTACAACTTTGTTTCCGGAATACCAACAATGGAACACTTTCATCAGTTTTATTGTGAGTATTAGTTTTAGAGAATTATAACTGAGTATTTCCCAGAGAACTCTTAACCCACAGAGAAGATATATCTAACTTTATTATGTATACTGTCAACAACAGTGAAACATTTGAAAGCTTTTTTTTTTTTCTTAATGTACATAGTTGAAAACTTCTACCAAGTATACAACTTATGCTTGTAATTTACTGTTTATATTAAAATAAAAAATATTAGAAGGTGGGTCCCCATGAATATTTTGTGTTCATGTCTATATTTGGTGATTTTTTAAAAAAAATTAATGTTATTTCTTCACATGCATACAAATAGAGTCAACTGTAAAATGAATTTCCCCTTTAATACAGGTTAATAAATGATACTGAGCCCTGGGACAGACCATTTACATAATCTTTTCTTACTGTTGCAAAGTAATATAAAGAAACTTCTCACCTTATTACTTCATAACTAGTTTTCCTTGTCATATGATCAAAAACCAATGGGATTAAAGGAAGAAGTCCAGGTATTAAAGGAAGACAGTATCAGTGAAAAAGAAAACTCTGAAAATTGATGGAATTCCAATTGAAATGTTTTAAAAAAACAAATGCAGAGCTGGGAGTACTCATTAATATATGCCAAGGAATTCGGAACACAGCTACCTGCTCAACCAACTAGAAGACCTGTATATTTGTGCCCCTTCCAGAGAAAGGTGGCCCAAAGGAATGTGAATAGGAAGCAATATCAGTAATATCACTTGCAAGTAAAATTTTGCTGAAGATAATTCAGCACAGTTACAGCAGTACATTGACAGGGAGCTGCCAGAAATTTAAGCTAGATTTTGAAGTGGGCGTGGGACAAAGGATATCATTTGGTTCTTGTCTGAGAGCAGAGAACATCAGAAAGATGTTCACTTGTATTTTTTTGATGATGCAGAGGCATCCAATGTATAGATCATAACACTATGGATAACATTGCAGATCATGTGAATTACCAAGAACTTCCTGTACACTCATAGGTTCTGTACATAGACCAAGAGGCAGTCTTTCAGTAGAACATGGGGTCACTACAAAGTTTACAATCAGGAAAGGTGTGCATCAGGGTTATGTCGCTACATGCTCTGAGCTGGACTGTGTGAAGAACGTGGCATCAGGATTGTTGGCGGTTCATGTGCAGTAGACACAACCTTCTTTGTTGAAAACAAGGGGGCCTTGAAGCACTTCCTAGTGAAGCTCAACAGATACGGCCGTCCGTGTGGATTGCCCCTCAATGTAAAGAATAGCAAAATCCCCCCAATTAGACCAATAGATACCATCATGATAAACAGAAATGATTGAAGTTGTGAAGGATCTCACCTTATTTGGGTCCACAATCAATGTTTATGGAAGCAGCAATCGAGAAATCAAATGATATCTGATATTGGACGAATCTGCTCACAGGACCTCATTGGAGCATTAAGACGTGAAGCTGTCATTTTGAGGACTAAGGAGCTCCTAACCCAAGCCTTGGTCTTTGCACTGAGTCACACACATGTGGAAGGTGGACCATGCATGGTGAGACTGCAGAGGAATCGCTGCATGCAGATGGTGCTGCTGAAGAACACGGAAAGTGCCGTGGCCTGCCAGAGAACAGACACACCTGCTTGGAACAAGTACAGCCGCAGGCGCCTCAGAACGAAAGATGGCGAGACACTCTTACGTACAGTGGATATGTTACCAAAAGCCAAACTCAGTGCCGTCTGGGAAATTCTGACTCCTCAAAGACATAGTTCCTGCGACTTCTGTGGGACAGAGAGCTGCCCCTGTGAGTGTATGAGACCAGCTCCTTACAGGAGTAGAAAGTCTCCTCTTTCTCCCGTGGAGTGGTCGTGGTTTGGAACGACTGACCTCGTCAGCTGCAGCAGCCTAACCGCTAACAGTCCCTGGAAAAGGGCATCTTGCTTGCGAGAGTCAAGTCAGCAGAAAAGAGGAAACCCTCAACAACATGGGTTGACAGAATGGCGGCACCAGTCGATGAAAGGCAGCACCTGGGAGGCTGGGGCCGTGCGGGCCTCTGGCGTTGCGTTGTATGTAGGGGCACTAGGACAGTTGGTCTCTCAACAGGAAGCAGAAGGTACTCCTTTGGAGCTTCATTCTTTGATTTTCTCACATATCCTGTTTGACCAAAATGGACCTTACGGTACATCAAGAAATTCATCTGGAATCTTTCCTTCAGCTGGCCTTGTCCCAGCTGAAAGGTGATAGGGCTTGACGACTTGTGTTTGCTTGACGATCAGTATGTCTTAAACGTGGGAGTTCCATTTTTCCTACTTGGCAGTTTTGATAACTTAGCCACAATTTTTTTACCTTTCTAAAAAATTAATTGAGATTTAATGCATGTATGATTCCAGACTTCAGTCACGTCAGGTAATATTGTAAAATTGCTACCACAATCAGTTTGCAAACATTCTTTTTCTACATGGACTCCTTGACATTGTCTCCACCACTGTAGGCCCTCCTTCTCAAACCCTGATTGTACTTGCTGGCCCTGTAGGCTCATCGATCCTGGGTTTCATGTGCCAAAACACCAGAAAAGCATAGAACACAGCTTCAAGAGGTGACCTCCATTGACCTAAGACCTCTGAGATACACTCTCCTACAGCGGTTCTCAACCTGTGGGTCGCGACCACTTTGGGGGTAGAATGACCCTTTCACAGGGGTCGCCTGATTCATCACAGTAGCAAAGTTACAGTGATGAAGTAGCAATGAAAATAATGTGGTTGGGGGTCACCACAACATGAGGAACTGTATGAAAGGGCCGTGGCATTAGGAAGGTTGAGAACCACTGCTCTAATAGGAGCAAAGAAAACAATACAAACCGAAAATACAGAACATTTTAGAAACCAGATCAGGTCCAGCCTGCATCATAGGGGGCTGTACTGACAAAGCTTCAACTGTCTCGGTCAGATTCACGCCTTGGATCTTCTATACTCACTCTCCCAAACACTGTTTAGTGAGCACTTTCCTCCTGTCCCTCAATTTTGGTTAGGGGGAGTTCTCCAGAGCCACAATTTTATTTAAATCATTGACCTTCCCCTTGTTTATCCTTCAAGAGGTCACTTATATTTTTTCTTGAAAAGCCTTTCAGAAAGGGAGATGAAACTCTGGTGCAAACAAAGTTTAGTTGACAGCAAAATAGAGACACCGCTTGTGAGTGTTGCCATCTGGACCAGTAATTCAGCCTCTCTGCCTGTTTCCTTTTCAGCAAAATGAGACGAACCTCCTACCTATATCATACGTTGTTCTGAGAGGAAATAACAGAATGAGCAGCTTAAGTCTTATTCTGTTATAAACAATTTAATATGTTTATCCCCCCCAAAAAAACATTGAGAGCTAATACAGGTATCATATCGGTCCATAATCCACTCACATCAAGCAGTATTGTACATTTGCTACCACCATCAGTTTCAAAACATTCTCTTCCTTCTTGAACTGCTTGACAACAGCTTCCTTTTACATACACCCCCCACTCCCTTTGTACCCCCCAGAAACCCTCACATGGTTCTTGTTTTGAACACATAACTTCTGGAGGTGAATGTGATTCCTACAAGGAGGATATTGAGTAGCTGTTTTGGCTATGTTGTTGATGTTTTAGCTATTTAGCTGCTAGCGATAGAGCATAGCAACTCACGGCAACCCCTTGCGTCGTAGAACTGCTCCCTGGGCTTCTCTGTGGAGGCAGTCACCAGGCCTTTCTTCCTTGGAACCACCCAGTGGGCTTGAATAGCCAGCCGTTAGGTTAGCCACCAGCCAAATGTCACCTGTGCCACAAAGGCTGCCTAAGCTTATGCCATAGTTTTTTTAAAAAGAGAAGGGGCTACCAGTTCACTGAGAAGTAGAACTCCCTCTTAGGCTTAGACATCAAGGACAACGTAGCTTTATCCTTGTCTGACATTTTCTCTTCCTTTGGTATTTCTAAAGTTTCCACGCTGCAGTTTATTCTTTTCTTTTTCTCTTCCTAAGGTATCTTTTGAATGTGCTGCTCACATCTTGTTTGAGGGGTTTTTGAGAAAAGCAATAAGTGACATTAAATACTGAAATTTTGGATTTTATAAAAGTATTATCGTCATTCTTACAAGGATCATCAGGTTTCTAGTGGTGAAGATTGCTTCACACTACTATATCCTGACCTGGGATTTAAGGCATCCTCTTGCTGCAGTGGTTAGCGTGCTCGGCCGCTAACCAGGTCAGCAGAGTGCTCCCGCCAGCACCTCCGCGGGAGGACGGTGAGGCAGCCTGCTTCCGTAAAGATCTAGAGCCTCGGAAATCTCGTGGGACAGTTCCACTCTGCTCTAAAGAGCCACTGTGAGTTGGAATAGACTTAATGGCTGTTGGGTTTGCGTTATTTTTGTTTTTTTTGTATATCGAATTTAATAGCCGGTTTTGTATTTTTAAAATGAGACCGTTTGTCATGTGAATTCACTCTCACACATTGTCCTTGTGTTTTCTTTTCACCTGCAGGCTACCTTGTCTATGAATTCGACAAGTTTTGGTTTGAAGAAAAGCCAGAAAGTATAATGTATTTCAACCAATACAGAGAGAAGTTTCATGAAAAGATTAAAAGACTTTTACTAGACTCTAACGTAGCACTCACTTTAAAGATGTAAACCATCCATAGTACTTCTATTTCTACCACCACATTTTGCACTCCCAATAGAATTTATATGTTGTAATAAAAATGATCTGAACCAGTTACACACCTTATATATAATTTCGTACAAAAAAATGTTTCAGAAATTCTATTTACAAAAGCTAGTGGACAATCAGTGTATGTTTACAGTTGCTTATACACTGTTCTCCAAAGGTACCTTGCCCTTCCAAAGATCCCTCGGTAGCTCTATGTGAGCTCCAGTCGGGAACTTGGGACTTAGCCCGCCCATTTCATCTAAGCGCTAAATCAGGTATTTGTATTGTAATCACCAGAGGCAAAGTGGTCTTCATTCTTCTGTGGTGTAAGTGGCCAACAAGTTGGCATTTTTTGAGGGCCCTTCTAAGGGGACTGTTCTGGTGTTGGGAAATGGCTTATGTTCTGCATCTTGTTAGGAGTCATCTCTGTATCTGCCACGCGTATTAGTGTTGCTTCCTCATGAGTAGCAGCAAGAGTAGAGATACATCAGAGGATTAAAGACAATGTCCTCCTTTTTTGGTACGCCGTGATTATTAGTATGAGAAATAACGGAGCAATGGCAGTATTGGTGACTTATCTTTTTCTTTAAATGCCAGCTTTAAAATATGACAGTGTTATTGTGAAGCGTAAAGACATTTTCTCATCCTAAAGTATTTGGGTTTTCATCAGTGATAGGGGGAAACCTTCCTGATTGCTTGGAGTAAGGGCCATTTTATGAAGGTGCTTCACCTCTATGTATTTTTGAAGAGAGATGTGTTTGCTAAGAAAATCCAGTCTTTGTAGTCAGCGGACAGTTTCTATTTCAATAAAGTTGTTCTTAAGGAATTAAGAGGACAACTTAAAACTTGGGGGGAAAAACCCCAAACTCAGTGAAACAGCATGGGGTTATTTGACTTCGTGAGGACTCCTTGTTTGGACCCCATGGTTTTGATGTGTGGATTGTCTGGGTACCCCTTGAGAAGTAGCCTGAGAATGACGACTGCATTTCGTATGGCTTTATTCTCCTAAAATCTCAGGAGGACAGCAGAGGCTGTCAGGGATTGGCTAGTGACGATATGCTAGTGGGGAAGCGTGCTTTAGACATTTGTACTCAGCAAAAACAGCTAAGCCTTTGAGGAAAGAGATGCTCATCAGATTGCTCAATCCTCCAATCCTTCAGAACAAACTATGAAAGACGACCTTTAATCTAAGACATGTTACTGACCACCTCTTTGAACCTTGTCAGTTAGCAAGTGTTGAAGGTCTGGCTCTTGAATTCGGTAAAGCACCAATGGAAACTTTCAGTTCATTGGCAAACCTAATACTTGCCCAGAGGAGAGTGGTAAGAAACACCCGAGCGGAAAGTAACTGAAGCCACACTGGCCAGTTCAAGGATGCAAAGTCCGTGCATTAGAACGGTTATTTTGTAAACAATTGAAAATGATTCTTAGAATTGGCTTCATTTTATTATTATCATAGTGATGATTCTTGAAGGGGCTTCTGAACCTTAGAAGCATGGTAACTTTCATGTGTTCATGTTTCACTCGTGTTCTGTGATACGTAGCAGACTCCTAACAAGGATCAGGTGTTAACCATTACATCAGGTGCGAACTATCACATGGTAAGCCGTTTCCTCGGTCTTTTAATCTTTGTGTTAAAAATGTTTATGCTCTAATCTTTCAACAGCTGAGATCTTGAACTGCTCTTTAAACCCTTGTCTGTGTCCTTACCACAAGAGTCATTGGATTATGAAAGGGGAAACCTTTTATGGAATTAGCTTATTCTCCTTTTAGGAAGAAAAACAAAACTTTATTGTTAACTTTAAACCGTCATTATAAGGTTTGTTTAATGATATGTTCTTTAAATCCAACTCTGTGCATTATGGATATGATTCTGTTTTTATTTGAAAATCATAGCCCTTTCAAAGAGCTCTACAGTGAATTGATCTACATGCCATCAGTAAATTCTAAAATTGGATCATTTGGAAGCCAAGCTAAATGTCACTATTGGAAATTAGAATGTGAAATCAGCCTTCCGATTTGTATGTGACAATGACATTTGTGAGAAGACAACTATAATAATAATGTCTGCCTTCCCCTTGCCCTTTCATGTGTGTGTTAAAATTTTATGTAGTTTCAAATTTACATTTTAAATGTTATCTTTTTAATGTAATAATAAAATGCCAAAGTAGTAATAGGGTATTATGATATTGTAGTAGCAGGAAAATGATGTGCTTCTAGCATCAAAAAGTGACTCAATGTAAAAATGAATTTTTGTGTGGTAGGGCAGAGAAAGTTTGCCAGTGACAAGACTAGTCTAGGAATGTTATCACAAGGGGTAGAGTTCTGATTTGTTCTGAAGGACAATCTGTCAAGAATTTAAAGAAATCGGGGTATCAGTGAACCTTAAGCAGCCTCTTGTTTGCATATAAAACATGGTGAGATGACGAATTTATCCGTCTTCCCGGCATCATTTACATTTTAGAAAACCGAGTCTTTTTTTGCAGAATGCCCAGCCTGGTTTTTCCTTTCGTTCTTTGTTCTATTTTAAGAGCTACTTGGATTCGTATGTATTTTTCTATGTGAAAATGTGTGTATTCTTTTTATTTATACCAGTGTTCGCAATTGTTCGTGTTCTCTCCCCTCTGCAAGCACTCAGTAAATCAGGACTTGGTGAAAGACTTGCTTCAAGGAGAAGCGTCACGTGTGTGGGGGGGAAGAGTGGACCGCTCGTGGCCCGAGTGGAAAAGATTCCATTGCTGTTGGGACACAGGAGAGGGGGTGTGGCTTGGAGGGCAATGTTTGATCTTCTGTCTTGAAATCATGGTTGGGGACCAGCAGCTGTTTTCTCAGGATCAATGCTCCACTCCACTTTTCTGTGAACCAGTCTAGGGAGGCTTAATTTCCATGTTTATGGGTCTCCCGGTGCAAACTATTTTCAAACGAAGATTATTAGGATTGTTAAAATCTAAGAGAATCATGTCTTGGATGTATTTTCTCCTGGCTCCAGCTTTGGATGAAAAATATTTTTATTGCGCAGGTAAGACGACTACGTTATAAGGCAATTTTACATTCTTGTTGAAGGATTTAAGAAGTAGCTTTCCCAGGGTGGCCAAGTGTCTGTTGGCAACTTACAGAGAGTGACTTTTGACCTTCACTAAGATGGTTGACGTCTTGTATGAAAGCAGTGGTGTGAAATGTGATGTCATTTTGTTCAGAATCTCATATGAGCAAATAAAAACATGTTGAACTTGTTCTAAGCCTCACCCTTGTTTTCTTCCCCTCCCCTCTATTTCTTACCCAAGTCATGTGTGCTTATGAAACTTTGCTTTTCTTATTTAATCTTATTCATGTTGCTAACCAGCAAGTCAACATACAGAAGGGGAGGAAAAAAACGAACTTTGTTTTCTTGTGTGAGTTTTAAACTTGACTATTTTCTTATCTAAGACGTTGAATGAGGACAATTGTGTATGAGACTGAAATTTGCTTCACTTTTAAAGAAGCCACCAGAAACCATTGCCATCTCCCCACCCTCCACACCCAACCTATTTTTAAAAACCCAAGCCAAAGTCAGTGCCCCTGATTGACTCTGACTCACAGCGACCATATGATAGAGTTACCCCCGTGGGTTTTCTGAGACTTTAATGGGGGCAGCAGTAGAGAATCTTGTCTTTCTCCTTTGAAGTGGCTGGGTGGTTTCGATCTGCTCATCTTGTGGTTAGCCCAACAAGTACACCACCAGGGTAGGACTCATGAATACTTTATTGCACTGTTTTGTTTTAATTTTGCTCCATAATACCTTGAAGCTGTTTTCCTATTAATTTGTAGCTTGCTCATTCTATAGCTTTACAGCTGTGAAGTGTTGCACTGTGTATGTATGTGTGTACAAATGTATAGGTGACAGTTTTCCATACTACGTGTAGCTTTTGGCTTTTGTAAGCAGTGTTGGAAGGAGGACCCTTGTAGGGCAGCAGAGGTGCAGACTCGCTGGGTAATCATCCTCCTTCACACAGTGGCTTGTCATGAGCTGTGCATGCAGTACCTGTTTCCGCCCCCATCCCGAACAGTGCTCCGGCCATCTGGGGATAGTTGCAGGCTATGAGAAAAAAGCTTACTGCAGGTGCCAATGCTGAATGTGGCTTTGCCGAGAAGATGCCATGCATCCTGCCAGGACGCTCAGGTGGCTTCATGTGCCATTCCAAGGTACCTGGAATGACAGGTACCTCTCAAGCTGGCAGCTGTAGAATTCTGTGATTCCAGGAACAATGGAATAACTAATAATAATGCCCCCGTGAGCATCATGCTCTAGAAACGGTTAGCCCTTCCATAAAACACAGGTTCTGCACATTAAAAGTAGTACATTTCACATGAAGTGTATGCCTATTGGTTGGAAAGACTTTCGCTTGCAATCCAACCATTTTGTTTTCTAGATGAACTTTCACACTTTAGATCCGGGCGTAGATCCCTAAAGATAAACCTAGAGAAGGTATTAGCAATACTTTATTGAATATACTAACTGGAAACTGGTAAATAAACAAAAAGCCCCATCTTCTGTGGTAACTTTTCATTCTGAAGTATGGATAAGTATAAAATGGCATTTCACTGTTTCCCTTTATCACCAGCTGGAGTTATAATGACAGCCTGTTAAAGTTCTTCGGGTTTAGCCCTGAAGTGAGAAACCAAGATAGCCCACATCAGTCAAATGCAGTGTCTTGCCTCGTCTTGGACAGTTCCCGTTTCAGCTGCTCAAAGCACACAAACATAATGACGTTCCAGGATGCCAGGCGCAAGAAGGACGGAATGAACCTAGAGAAATGGACATGGCCACACGGTTAGCTGGATTCTTGACGTCTGGAAGCTATTCACAGGCAGTTTATGCTGCTCTCTCACCTGCAGGTGTGTAAAAGCACCTTCCCTTTCCACTGCTTGACCTCAGCTGTCTTACAGGGACAAAATCTCGGTGACTGTTTTTACAAACCCCCGACACCCTTTCAGACCAGAGCATGGCAAGCCCTTTCTGCCTTCACTCCAAGAATTTCTCTCGTCTTTTAAATTTTTTAAAGGAATTTTTGTTTTGTTTTGCTTTCAGAATAAGAGGTAGGGAATTATTAGGAACTAAAAAGGAGAAATCAAAGAATAACGGATGGATAACTGAACAACACTACCTGATAGGAGCCCTGCTGGGTCGGTCTTTGGGGTAAGTATTGGACTACCATCCATCAGGTTGTTTGTTCAAAGCCACCAGCCGCTCCACCAGAGAAAGGTGAGGCTGTCTGATGCCATACAGACTTGCGACCCCAGAAGCCCTGTCAAGGGTTGCTTTGCATTGGAATCCACGGACTGGCAGTGGATAGTCTTTCTTAGAAAGGTGCTTTCCAACATGATACTGTTTTTACTGGGGGAAATGTGACGTGCACAACACTGGTTCTTAGGAGGGTATGGTAAGTACCGCCCAATTTTCTGCATTGATTTCATAGATCAGCGGCAATAATTTCCCCCATTTTTGCTTTACTGTAAATCAAAAGCATACTAAATCAGTTTTCCAAAATAACGAAAACGAAAGCTTGTTTTCTCGGCATGCCCTACTGTGCTGTCTCCCTGGTCTCGCTCCCTCTCCTGCCCCGAGAAGGCAAATTACTGTCCACATTTCCATGCGGTTGGGACCTCAGACACTGATTCTGAATGAGCCTCTGATCAAGGTCGAGAGCATTTGTTAACCTGTTGTAGTCTTTCCAATGTCCTGGCAGCACGGAATTGGAGGTGGGAGAAACGTGTGGCAAGGACAGATAGTAGGTGTACACTGTGTGTACTAAGGCTGGCAAGGTAAATGCCAGGTGTTCAGACCATATTGTTCCCAGGCACCCAGGCACCTACTCAGAAGATTATATCCTACCCTTTGAAAAAGGCCGGCAGCCCTTCCTTGGTGAACATGCTCATCACGCAATTGGGTACACTGGAGTAGAATCCTGGCGGAGAATTTATAAATCTGGTTTTCACCACATCTGCTGGAGAGGCCAGGAACGTCGTGCAAAATCCGGCAATCAGAGCAGACACTAAGTGACAGGGCACATCATCTGAAACACATCACAGCCTGCGGTGAGAGAACTTGCAAGTGTGGGGCCATTTGTCAGATCCAGCCTATTCACCACAGACACCTCAAGAACTAGAAACATGGTTAGACTTGCCCTGAAGAAGAAGACAATTAGAATATAGCTTCAGTGGATAATGAGCCATCAGAGCCCAACATAATGCCCAATCAATCCAAAACCTGCTCCCACAGAGAATCTGACTCAGCAAGTCCAAAGGACAGTACAAGTACCCCATATGTTTTCTAGGACTGTTAGCAAAGTCGTCATAGAAACAGGCTGCCACATCTTGCTGCCTCAGAACCAACTGCTGGTGGGCTCCACTTTCAGTTAGCCCAGCCTCCTTGGATACATATGAAGCACCTCATACTTCTTTACTGAACCGACGCCATTGTCTAAGGAGACTTTGATGGACCCTAGAACCTATTAATGTTGTTTGGGGGAATCTGTCCTATGTTAACTACTGTGTGCGTGAAACTGTTGATGACTTCTTACATAACTAACTGCTGTGCAGTGCTTGATGAACCCACCTCTGGAATTCCGCTGTATGAAGAGTGAGATTGTACAAAAGTCCCATACACTGGTGTCAAAGGACACTAATACAGTGGTGGTTTGGTTGTGGCAAACATCCCCCCAACTTTTGCTGTTTTTCTGCTTCTCAGAATAGCCATATAGAACATTCAAAATTATTATTTTGAAACGAAGACTGTTAGAATTGAAGAATCTAGTCTAATGAGGCTGGAGGAGCCCGGCGATGAATGATCACTGTGCCGACCTGTTGGTTACAATAGGAAGTCACCTGCTAGTATGTTGTTGTTCACCAAGGTGTCCTTCATCAGGTCGTAGGTTACTAGCTCTACACAGTTGATGATGATGTTTCTTGCCAGATTGGGAGAAGTCCCTGGAAGAAAGAAAGTGCATTAACTCGTTTGTATGAGATGTGCGTTTCAGTGGTTTCCGGTTCTTAGAGACCCGTTACCTTTCCAGAGACATGTGAAGCCCTCTGTGGTGGCTATAATTCGGTAAGCATTGTAGGTCCCAGTGTAGCGCGGCTTGAGACCATGCAGGTGGCTCTGTGCTTGAAGTCGGACCTTCACAACCTCTGTGGGCTGCCCGATGAACACGGCCACGCCTCCTGTTGTTAAACCAGCTGAGATCCTGTTTCCTAAGGTAGCTGGTGCTATCCAGGGAGGGAAAAGATGGGTTAATTTTTTGGTTTTAGCAAAGCCTCAAGCGTATCCTAATGCCTTTTTAATTTTTAATGGATACTATTCATGGCAGTCCCCCTACCTTGATTCTACTTCCCTAAGGCCTGCCCACCTGTTGGTCATACATGAAACTTCAGTAAGGGTGCAAACCCCCGGCCAGCGAGTCCATGCTGACACGGGGTGTCTCCGGCTCTACATCTTTGTGGGAGAAGGTAGCTCTTTGTCCTGTGGAGCAGCTGCTGGCTTTGACCCTCCGACCTCGTGCTTAGCAGTTTGATGCTTCCCCACAGTGCCACCAGAGCTCCTTGTCAACTTCAAAATTGGGAGTTAAAAAAGGAGACTTTCAAGGAAAAATAAAACTGCCCATTTACACAGGCTTGGTTCTTTCCTCTTATTTAGTTCTGTTTTTCACTATGAACCAAGTGAGAGGAGGCCTCTTACCAATAATTCTTCCTCAGCGATCCTGGTAATTGCTGGACTAGGAAAGCCCAAGCGGACAAACTGCTCCCAATGGGGACAAAAAGCCCAAGCGGACAAACTGCTCCCAATGGGGACAAAAATAAGTCATTTTTATGTGAAATTTTGAAACTGTTTTATGTTAACATGGGAATTTAATAAAACTACAGAGTCTTAGAATTATTTACAATTAAAATCCCTAATGATAGAGGACTGTAGCGTTTCAGTGTTTGCCGTCTGGTGTCATCCGTGGTGGGAGGGTTCATACAGTGGCGTCTTATGCCCAACCCTGGCATGCAGTGGTTCCACACTGGCCTCCTACCAGTTGGACCATTCGCAGTTTGAGGCCACCAGCTGCTCCAACAGGGGAAGGAGAAGGCCTTCCACTCCCATAAAGAGTGACCCTCGGAACCCCGGGGTCGTTCCCCCTGTGCTGTAGGGTGGCCAGGAGGCAGAGCAGAGCGATGGCTGTGTGTTGGGTTCATTCTATTAGGAGGTGAGATCCTGCAGAAGGATGACATCCCGGCTGGGAAAGTAGATGAGCAGTGACAAAGAGGGAGGCACGCAAAGCAATGGATGTACCCCGCTGCAACAGTGAGCTCCCTCGTAGCAATTGTGCGGACGTGCGGGACCTGGAAGTGGTGCATTCTGCTGTCCATCGGGTCGCTGTGAGTCGAAACCAACTCAGTGGCACTGAACAACAGCCACGGAAATCACCTTTGTAAATGGTCCCATAACTGTTTGTTTTTCCCAGGTTGCACCAAGCAGAAATGATGAAATCTGCCATGGTCACAAAGGATATGCACTTCACAGCATTACATTCCGGCACAATGCTGCCTTGGCTCATCGGCTCTGACTGAGTCTCAGATCACTGCTAATGGTGTGCTCTTATACCCATGGCTTCTCTGATACTTCGTTTCCATTCTGGAAAACGGGGATGGCAATTTCTATCTCACCGCATTGCCAAATCAATGAAATGATCCCCAGAATCCTCCCTACCAGGCAAGGGCGGTGGAGTGCAGTGGTTAAGAGCCTGGGGCCCTTTGAAGTCATCAGAGGTTGGAACAAAGCCCCTTTTGTTGCCTGGGGCTAAGCCTTGGACCATTTCCCCAACTGTAAGAGGAAAAGAATAGTATCTTTCTCCTTGTGGTCCACTGGCTGCAGGACAGCACCTAGCCCTCTAATGAATGAGGAGAGAACCAGCCCCTGGAAACTGCATGGAGCGCAGCAATGATCTGGTGCCCAGGGGTCACTATGAGTCAGTTTACAGAATGAGTGAGTTAGTAGATTGTGCCAAGCTGGCCAATAAACGCATGTGGGGTTAATTGAAGGGCAGAGGGATAAATGGCTCGGTGAGCCTCGCCTTTCTAGTTCTGGGGTCTCTTGCTTTTTAGTTCTTGGGTCGCACCAGGGTGCAGCTTCCTTAGCAGTTCCCTGCTTCAGCTGGCAAGACTGACTTCCTACAAGACATCTCCAAGGAGAACCCACATGGACCTACCCCGATGCAGCCCTGGGTGCTGGCACCCCCGTGTGGAGACCCTTGCCAGCGCTGAGATGCTTACACATTCACTAACTTGGCTTTCCTCCTGCAGCCAGCATCATGGTGTGTGTTTTGTGAGATGGAGGAGGGCTTTGTGGACTGGTGGTGGACATATGGGTTAATGTTGGACGTGTGGGCTTGGGTGTCACTAGGTTGGGATATTTTCTTGATGCGCATTTCACCTTTACGTAAAACTCTCTTCCACCTGAGTTTCTGTGGATTTGTTTCTCTAAAGTACCCAGACTCACACACTGAATGACAACACATTGGTGGTTTCTGTTTCAAATCGACAGGAACTCTTGGCAGACACTCAGACTCAAATAGTAGGGTTTGTTGTTGATGTTTCTTTTCCTCTAACTAAACTCCTTTACTTTCCTGCTCTGGGCTTTTTCAGTATCAGAGGCCTTAGAAGCATCTTAAAAAGGAAATTCATTTCCTAGGCTCTCTCTCTCTTTCTCTCTCTCTCTCTCTCTCTCTCTCTCTCTCTCTCTCGCTTGAGGGCTGGTTTTTTCTCTGAAAACCAGTTTTTCAACTTCGCTGCTGGTTGTGTGCGGGCAAGTCTATTCCAACTCGTCACTCTCTAGAGGAGAGTAGAACTGCTCTGTAGTAGTTCTGCGTTGGGCTGCTAACCTCAAGGTTAGTAGCTGGCATCCACCAGCTGCTCCTGTCAGGATAAAAGCAGGGCGTTCTACATGGGGTCACTAAGAGTCGGAACCCATTCAATGACAGTGAGTGTGGTGTGAGTGTTTTATGTCATTTCTAGGTTGTAAGCATGATGGCTCAGATTGTCAGATTGTTTTTGTTTTCTTCCTGCAGAGTTCCTGGTTGGCTGGAACCACAGTTTTCAATGAGCAATGCAGTGCTTCCCCATTGTTCCACCAGACCTCATGCCCAGACTCCAGGGAAGTTTGTTAAGACAGATTCGCTGAGCCCCATCCCGAGAGTCAGCCTCAGCAGGCCTGGGGTAGCCCCGCATTTGGTGTTTTAACAAGCCCCATTCTTTGGGGGACTTTGACCAGGCTAATGCTTCCCAAACCTCTTAAAGAGGTACCAGATGTGACTTGGAGGACTAAGATGCGCCTGCCCCAAGCCGTGGTACTTTCTGTCACTTCCCAGGTGTGTGAGGACTGGGCAGTAAATAAGGAGAGCCACAGCAGAATTGATGCATCTGAATATGGTGCTGGTGAAGTGCCAGAAGAACAGACACACCTGCCTTGGAAGAAGTGCAGCCAGAAAGCTCCTCAGAAGCAAGGGTGGAGGTGAGACTTCCTCGCACATTTTGGGCATGCGGTCAGAAGAGACCAGTCCCTGCTAAAGCAGACCATGCTTGGTCCAGTAAGGTCCACAGAGGAGGGAGAGGACCTCCAGGAGATGGATTGGTGTCGTGGCTGCAACCATGGGCTGAAACATAGGGACAGTGAGGATGGCCCCAGACTGGGGACACAGTGTGTCCCTCGGTTCTACAGAGAGTCAGTCACTATGGTGCAACTGACTCAACAACCCCTAACAACAGCACTTCTAAATGACTTCCAAGACTAGGTGATTGAAAGAAAATACTAATAAACCAGCATATGAAAAACCCATTCTGTCCTCTTCTGTTTTTTAATGAACCAGGCAAATTCTCTGGGGGTAAAGCTTCAAATAGGAGTGTTGACTTGCCATTTCCTTAGGAAGATTCCTACCTGGTGTGCTCCGTTTTCAAACAGCACTGGGGCCAAGGTGTGCTCCTCCTGTGAGCACGGGAGACCTACCGTCTTTGCCCGCGGTGAAGTACTCCTGCACAGTGTCGTAGAGGCCGATCCTCAGCGAGGCAAAGCTGATTTGTCTCTGGATTCCAGCAGGCAGCCCGCTGTAGAGCTTCACCATGCCTTCCGTTCTTGCCAGCGTCTTGATCGTTCCCAAGACGCCTTTGTACTTGATGCCACTGGAGGTCGGGCTTTCCCCTTGGATCTGGAAAAGGGAAGGGGACTTGTAGGAAGGAAGTGACGTGTCCAGAGCCTAAGAGGGCCGGCCCTGCCTCCCGAAGGGGAGTCTGTGGATGTTAAAAATGGCCACCGGGCACAGTGGCTAACGCTTTAGAGGTTCAAATCTACCCAGAGGCACTTCAGAAGACAACCCTAGTGCGCTCCCTCTGAAAAGCCAGCCCTGGGGAACAAATGGAGCACAGGTCTACACTGACACCCGAAGTCAGGGGACTCAATGACACCTGCTTCCTGGCGGGAAACAAACTGACAGCCGGCTGCCTCCATGGGGACATTCTATGAGATGCCCACCCACCCACCATGCTCCTAGTTTAAGTTCTCTTTCCTTCTCAGCAAGCCCTCCACTCCCCAGCCCCCACTGAAGTATCTAGTTTTTTGGCTGGCTACAAAGCCAAGGACACAGGGAACACCCCCTACCCTTCACAACCAACCCACTAACCTCCGGGGTGGGGAAATGTCGCTGCAGAAATAAATAAGGAAGAGGGAAGCCGGACTAACTTGGAAACTCACGAACGGCTGATGGTATAAGCTCTTAGCACACTTAATACACATCGTTTTAGGGGTGGAGCAGCGACCCCCATGCTTTGTGACTATTCGGGCCCTCCCGTTAACCCCAGGGAAAGGTCCAATTCGCATGCTCCATCATTCGTTTATCTGTAAAAGGGCCTCCTTTTCTTTGAAGGTGGCTAGTGAATGAAAGCCGGGCTCCATGGCCCGCACAAGTGCCCTTCCTCCGGTAGCCCACAGCCGCCCATGTGCCCTTACCTGGAGCCGCACTTTGGCGGTGTCCAGCGGGAAGGTGATCAGGTCCGCCAAGCAGGCTGACACCCCCGCCGAGAAGATCTTCACCCCCATAGTCGGGTGCACATCGGAGGTGGTGGGGCTCACCATCTTCGCTGGGAAAGAGTGGGGGCGCCGGTGCGGAGGGAGAAGGGCTTTAGCTCTCTGGCGGGACTTGGCTTTCCCGTTGGGTCTGGAGAGAGATGGGCGACAAGGGCTGGGGCGGCGTGGCCTTGGTGGGGGGGCAGGCAGTTGGCTCAGCCCTGGGGTCTCTTCTGGACCTGTCTCCCTTGCTACCTGCGCCCAAGACTGGAGAGCACCATGTGTCCCTGCCCCAAACCCAGTGACTTATATAGCCTGGTCCCTTGGGGGCTGGAGCGCGCACGGGTCCAAGAACTGGGCCAAGAACCTGGCTGTGCGTGCCCTGGGGTGAGGCTCCCCTCCCCTCCTTGCTCAGCGCCACAGGAGTCACCTTTCAACCCCTCCAGCCTCTGCATCTCGCTGTCTGCGCCCTGCGCCCCGCCAGCAGAGGGAGGCGGCGCGCCAAGGCCCGCAGACTTCCACCCTTGGGTCTGGAGGGTCAGCCTTCCGCTGTGCACCCTGGGCTGGGTGGGAGCGCCCCAAATAAGCCCAGTTCAGCCTGATCAATGATCCCGCTCACCCAGACTTCTCCCACCAGGGGCTCTTGCCCGGGCACTCCCCTCCATCCTCTGACTTGCCTGGCCCCTTGCTGGCATTGCGTGGCACTTTCTGCTGCCCTGTCCTCAACGTTTAACTTTTAAATCTTCTGATTTCTTTCCAACCACCAGCTTCAGTCTCGGAACCATGTCAGACAGAACGTTCACAGGGAAGAAAGTGATTTCGGTTGATGACCTCTCCTGGTAGGAGGACAGCAGTGATCAATTATTAAAGCGCTGGACAAAGTGAGGGATCACATGCTGTCTTTTAGGGAGCGCAGGGGCTGGGGTCCTGGAGGTCGCGCATGGCTCCAGGTGCCGCACTGCCTCTTACCAGCTCTGTGGCCCTGGGTAAGTCATCCTCTTTCGGGCTTTTGTTCCCACTGGTGTAAAAAGGTCCTAGCATTACCCTAGCTCTGAAATCCTATGCTGCTTCCTACGGTGACAAACATTGCAATGTGTGTGAGGGGAAATCACTGAGTTGTAGCCCCTTAATATGGCCCTCCTAGTCATAATTCCTTAGGTGGGGTATTGAGGAGAAAGTGAATTAGTGTAGCAGGGGCTGGGGAGTTCTGCATACTTCTCTGAGCCCTGGTGGCCTTCTCCTTGGGTAACGCTTATATAGGGTTGCTCTGAGCCTAAGCGCATGGACTGGCTGTGGGTATTATGGGGAGAAGGGAAAATCCCAAGCCCCAACTTTCAGGAACTTCTGAAAACTGAAAATCTTTGGGTGTCACCGGAATCCATATGCAGACTCTCCAGCTTGCTGGAACCTAACCCTGAAGTTAGCCGCCCAAAGAGTCGATGGAAGTCACAGAGCCACCTCCTGCAGGAGGGAGGGGAATCAGGCACAAAGTTCATAGAGAATAATATTCAAATCCTCAATAAGCAAGGGTAGTAGGTGCTTGGCAAAAAACAAGGCCCGAGAGACTTCCAAGGGAGGTCAGCTTTGGAGGACATGCCCGAGGAAGTAAATGTTGAAGGGAGAAAACCCGAAAGCCAACTCACTGCCATCAAGTCCGCAGTGCCTCACAGCGACCCTGTAGGACGGGGTAGACCTGCCCCTGGGAGTGTCTGAGACTGTGACTGTTTATGGAGTAGAAAGCCCCATATTTCTCCCATGGAGTACCTGGTGGTTTCAAACTGCTGCCCTTCAGGGTCACAGCCCAATGTGTAACCCCTATGCCAGCAGGCCTCCAGGTTGAAGGTAGATTCGGTTTCAATAAGAAGAGAAGAAAAGGAAGACAGGGTACATTTTCTCCTCAGGGAATACATATTGCAAGGAAGAGCACAGGAAGCCATCGCTTGGCACAGGTTGAAAGGAAAGACCTTGGGACAAACACAAGGTGACTGTCTGGACTGGGATATTGTGTGCTGAGGAAGAACGAGAGCGAGGACAAGAAGTGGGTAAGAGATGAGGCCACAGTAGCCAAGGAAGCCAGCCAAGAGCGGAGCCTGAAGACCTCGTCTGAATATAGCTTCCTGGCATCATCCCGTGTCTGCACAGCACTTCACATGGTGCAAGCTTCTCTCACACCATGGACAGCAAGCTTTATACATGATTGGCTGTGGAGTCAAAGATTTCTGGAAGGTAATCCAAAAATTAAGGACTTGGGGAGTGGACTCGGGAAAGATGCCAACAGATTGTGATGAGATAGTTGGAATGGCGAGAGGTGTTTTTTGTTGTTGTTGTTGTTTCGGTTTGGTTTTTTTGAGGTAAGAAAATATTTCAGAGTCTTGGAATGGATGGTTGATATCTACATGCTCAATGATTCAGAAGCCAGATGTATGTGGGGAGTGGTGGTTTGGAAGTGATGAGGGTGTGGTTACTGTCTATGGAAAGAGTACAGTGAGCCTAGAACAACGGGACAGAGGGTCCAACCACCGCACGACCCAGAGTCAGGGGCTGGGAGGAATAGGTTTGAGAGGGAGAAGAGAAGAAACAGTAGTGTCTCCCCAAAGCCCCAAACCAAAATGATTGCCACTGTGTCATTGCGGACTCATACTCTCCAAGACTGTAAATCTTTACAGGACCAGAGAGCTTCTTCATCGTGCTCCTGAGGAGCATCTGGTGGTGTCGAACTGCGGAGCTTGTGGTTACCAGCCCAATGTATAATGCACTACGCCACCAGGGCTCCATTATATCCAGCCACAGAATCACACCACTTGAAGAGAAAGAAGAGATTGGCTCCAAATCAAGGTCAAGTTCAGAAGAGATGTCAAGAGGCCTCAAGTAAAGGAGACCTGTCAGATTTGGCTGTAACATAATTAGTGATGTCAGGGAGTGTGTCTGTGGTGGAGCTATTAGGGTAGACAGAGTGTAGTGAAGAACATTAGGTTTAGTCTAAGACACATGGGAGTGCGATTGTTCCTTGCCAGCTCTAGTGAACCTTTGCTACCAATGCTTGATCCTTGACCCTCCCCCCCAAACCTCTCTCTGGATTCATCACCGTGGTTCTGTATCTACCCACAGGCCGTGGCTTTGAAGCATAATCCCAACAGTTTTCCGCTCTTCCATTCAATAGGTGTGGGAATCCACGTCCCTTGTCTTGCACGCGGACAGGCTTGTGGATGCTCGGACCACGGCACAAGAAAGAACCGACACGCCTAACAGTCCTTGCAACTCTGTCCTGTTCACTGTGTATTTGCTGTGGGAGCTGTTGGCCATCATGCAAGAAACCCAGCTTCGCTGAGGCCCTCCATGATGGCGCAGGAGCCTCCCACCGAGGTTCAAGGCATGAGAATGAAGCCATCTTGTATCCTCCAGGGAAACCCCATCTGCCAGCCACCGAGTCATCTCCATCCAAGTCATCTCCATCCGCCTGCTGAGTAACAGAACCCAGCGGCGGTGGCTGTTAGGGCCCATCGAGTTGGTTCTCATTCATAGCACCCCTATTGCAACAGAACAAAACGCCGCACGAACACTGGTACCATCTTCACAATCATTCTTGTGTCTGAGCCCATTGTTGCAGCCACGGTGTCCATCCATTTGGTTGAGGGCTTTCTATCTTTCCCAAGCATGATGTCCTTCTCCAGGGACTGGTCTCTCCTGACAACATGGCCGACGTATGTGAGGTAAAGGAGCGTCTGGCTCGACTTCTCCCGGACATGTTTGTTTGTACTTTTGGTAGTCCATGATTCTTGGTACGGTAGTCGGTACCAGCACCATAGTTCAAACGCCGAGAACCCAGCTGAGCCCTGTCCAAATACCTGGGCTGTAAAAGTGTGAGCTAATGAGAGCCAGAATTGAACAGGGAGGGAGAGAGGCCTTTAAAAAAAAAAAATGTTCTCCTGTGTTTCACACATTGTTCGGTTGTTTTACCTTTAACAAGGTGCAACCTTCCAATTCCTCTATGGCAGTGGCTCTCATCCTTCCTAATGTCATGACCCTTTAATAGTGTTCCTCATGTTGTGGTGACCCCCAACCATAACATTATTTTCATTGCTACTTCATAACTGCTACTGTTATGAATGGGTGACCCCTGTGAAAGGGTTGTTCAACCCGCAAAGGGGTCGCGACCCCCAGGTTGAGAACCACTGCTCTATGGCTCTCTATTCAGTGGGAAATATTTGAGTTTTCCTTCTCTGACAGGCTCCAGATCTTGCAAATTTTACTGTATAATGCCATCGTTGTCATTTTAAGGCAACAGCAGGCCATTGGAACATGACTTTTACCTTTAGGAGAAGCTGGGAGTGGCATGACCCCTCTCTTCGCTGCTCCCTCCACCTGCCATCTTGATTAAGAGTTGCACCCGTGGCTGGACAGTGTGGATTTTCACTATAAAAACCATTACCGTACGTTGTGGAAAGAAAACTGGGTGAACTCAGAGGGTTTGTTTGTTTGTTTCTATGCAGCAAGCGCTTACATAGCTTAGAGACAGAGTACGACCAACCAGATGGGAAGGTGAAATAAAAGGCAAGATTACCACCAAGCCATCTCCCTCAGTCTGTCTCCTAACGGAAACCAGTCATGGTCGTTAGGTGCCATTAAGTGGCTTCTGACTCCTGGCGACGCCATGCATGCCCAGGAGACTGAAACCCCGCCCGCTCCTGCGCCATCCTCACCACTGCTCCTCTGTGGTTGCAGCCGCTGTGTCAACCCATCTTGTCAAAGGTCTTCCTCTCAAATGTTAGGGACTTAGTGGTCATCCCTAACAGGCAAGAGGCGGAGAGTAGAGACACGTGGAAGGGTAAAGTGGCTGTATTAGTCTAGGTACTTTGGAGAAACAAATCCACAGCGACTCGTGTATAAGAGAGTTTTATGTAAAGAAAAGGTGCATCATGAAAATATCCCAACCCAATGCTGCCCAAGCCCACAAGTCCAACATTAACCCATTAACCCAACACCAGTCCACAAAGTCCTCCACCTCACAAAACAGAGGCAATGATGCCGACTGCAGGAGGAAAGCTGAATCAGTGAACGAACAAGCATCTCAGCACTAGCAGGGGTCTCCACACAGCTGCTCCAGCACCCAGGGCTGCATAGGGATAGGTCCATGTGGCTTCTCCTTGGGGATGTCTTGTAGGAAGTCAATCTTGCAAGCTGAAGCAGGGAACTGCTAAGGCAGCTGCACCCAGTGCAGACCATCACAAAACAAGAGACCCAAGAACTAGAAAGGCGAAGCTCACCACCCATTTATC